GTCATTCAACATCATTCATAACTTTGGTAAGGTTAATTACTGTTATAAAGAATAATGTGGGATAAGATACATGTAAACTATTCATGATTAATCAATTTAATATTATATAATAAATATTCAAAATAATGAAAATAATAAACAAATGTACAATTTGGATAAAGTACTTTATATTTACATTTACGTTCACGTTTATTCTAACTGTGTATAAATGAGATTTGATTGATTTAGTTTACTTCATTGTATTGTATTTCCATTTCTGTAATGCGTTTGAATTCTCGTTTCTTGTTATATTCTTCAACGAAATTTATTAGTTTGTTATGTTCCTCATGAGACAAGGTATTAAATTTCTTCTTCTCATTCTGTATCCATTCCTCTATATTTTCTGACTGATTAAAATAGTAATAAATACTAATTGGGAATAATATGTACGACATCATTCTTCCAATCTCCATTTGCCAATTTCCCATTTTCTAAATATCTAAACAAACCAAAGAAGATACAGCATATACAGGTATAAAATACAGCTTCTTATCAATATAAGATATAACTGGTTTTGTTGTAAATAATAAGATGTAATCACATTGGATCTGAAAAACACAACACACAGTATTGAACGTTGTGCAATGAAATATCGTGTATCATACTATTCAAGACGATGTTTTCGCGTTTCAGCTCTAACTAACAATTTATAATAACATCTATGACGTACTTGCAAAATGCTTGAATCCGCAAGAAATTTCTTCCTATTCCTATATCATATAAATAAATCATTTGCTAGACATGCAATCACTAAGAAACTATAAACAGTTTTGATGTTGGCAAAATTGTTTTGCCTAAGAAAGTTGTCTCATTCAAGATTCTTTAAGATTCATATTATGGTATCGTTTCGAACTCTGTAATAAACAAATAAGTTTGAATTTTTCAATGATACCCGTGGACTTTAAATGTTGATAGGCACTATGGAAACATTATTACCTTCGGAAGTAGCTAGATTGGTTCTTGGTAAGAGTGACACGACGTGTGCTTTGCACATCATATTATGATAACCTGTTGTATGGCGGGAATATATGTATACTTTTTGATCATGCAACGAAACGTGTCAGAATTTTATATAAGCATGAAATTGACACGAAATAAGCAACAAATTTTATACAAATAAACGTAATCAATGTCAAATTGAATACAAATAGATGTTGAATATAATAAATCGTAAGCAATACCACATTGTAACCAATAAGATGATTTATTGTAATCAATATGATAAATCATTTTATTTTTAAATGTATACATATATGCGTACATTAAATACGTATAATTTACATAATATAATATATATGTTTATAAAAAACCAGTAAATCTTTACATATGATTTATAAGCTTATCTGAACAATTTTAGGATATCTTGAAAGTCAGAAATGCATGGAAGCTGCAAAAATATTTTTAGAAACGTCACCGCATTTACAAGAATGTCGCACTGTAATTTCAAAAGGAAAACGATTCAGTACTAAAGTTAGTGGAATGGCTTTGATCGATATAATCGAAAAGTTTTTTGCTATCAATTCAACTGGTAAGATTGTAATACAAGTGAGAAAAATATCATTTTATTACATTAACATTTGTTTTATAGTTGATAATTACCTTGGAAAAATTGTTAATTGCAAACAACCAAAGTATTGTGAAGATTTACTGAAAGAATTAAAATTTCTTATTGAACAAACTCAGGGAGAACACTTTATTGTTAATATCAATGTTCCCTCGCAGGTACATGAAAAAATCTAAAAACTTATTAGTTATTACTATTAATATTATTAAATAGTTATTACTAGTTATTACTATTAATATTATAATCTATTATTATTGATCTATTATTTATTATATTCTTATAACATATTAATCATTATAATGCATTCTGTATTCTTTTGTACTATTCATTTACTTATTTCCAGAGTAATTCTCAAATATGCAATGATTCTCCTATAAAAAATACAAGTAATAGTAATACACGTAAAAGGCATCACAGTAATAATGATCGTGAGAGATGTAAACGCACAAAAATAACATCAAATGCACAACAACATGATTCATCCTCTGACAAAGGTAGAACATAGTATAATATATGTAATATAGGTAATATAATTCTTCAAGAGATTTTCTAATAATTTTCTAACATTTTTTATTATTACAGCACATTTTGATAATGTGGAAGCAACTCCATTAGAAAGTCTACCAGGTCATATGGATATGTTAGAACTAACAAAATGTAGTATTAATATGAAACAGAAGAAATATAGTAACTTTATGAAACAACATGAAGGTTTGTTCAATTTTAATACATACAATTAAATTGCATAATCAAATAATAGTAATAAAAATAAAAAGGATAATAGTAATAAAAATAAAAATAATGGCAATATTAATAAAATAAATAAACATGTATGTACACTTACAATTAACTGATAAGGATAAGAGAAAGTATTATTTAATTCTTAATGTTTAAATTAGACGGCGATTTAAATATTCAGAACACAGAGGATATTATCACATATAATGCATGTACGGAAAACAATATAAAAGATTTGCACGCGTTTGATAAATGTACCACAGCAACAAGTACAGAAGAATTATTGAGTTATTCATGCGCAGAAGTTCAAACAACTCCATATGATACGTTGGAATCTGAATCAGAGAGTAATGATGAACCAATAGAAAATCTTAGTGTAAGTAATTCTCTTCTGTAATAATAATTTCTCAATCAATTTTTACCTTTTTATCGTTTATATTACAGCTATTAACGAAAGAGCTCTTAAACCGCACAGAGTTACAAGAGCGAATCGCTGAAAATATTAACAAGGCAATACTTCCAACAGATATATCATTGAAAGATGAAAGTTTAAATGAGTCTCTAAATGGTGAAGCAAATACTTCTCTTATGGTGGAATTGAATAATGCAGTTAAATCAATAGTAGAAGCTACAGAGTCTGATCCTGTGTTTGAAAAATTTCTTGAGGAAATTATTGGGCCTCATGTAGAAACTGATGCAAGTCATGATGAAGATACTGAGGTTCAACCAAAAACAAAGATTGCTAATGAATCGCAAGATAAACAAAATGAAATGACCTCAAGTAGTAATTCATTAGAATATATGGTATTAGATGACAAACCATCCACAGAATTAGATACACCATTAAATGCAGATGTGCCATTAAAGCACAGACTTCGTAGTTCTTCTAGACAACAAAATGTTCGAAATGAAGATGAGCAACGTGATCAAGAAAGTACATTGGAAGATCAAAACGCTGCTGCAGTATTAAGTATAATAAATGCAAATAGTGTTAACAATAAAATAGTAAACGATAAAAGAACGAAAGAAGTTGTATGGTTATTAGACAATGATAACAAGAAAGAGTTGTCAGCATTTGAAGTTTCTGTTGATAAAAATACAGAGAAAGCCGAAAAATTAACAACCGATGCTACTAAAAAAGACAGTAACGTTGTTTCGATGATCCAAAGTAATGACACAGATTCAAAGATTAAAAAGTCATCGGTAAAACGATTACGACATCCGAAGTCTAAACAACAAAAATCAGAAGATAGCGCAAACAAATATACATCCGAGCAAGACATAGTGACAATACCAACGTTAGTAATGTGTTCAAAGGAAGAAATAAGTAATACGTTATCGAAAAATGCACGCACTTGTTCCACTCGCACTACTACAAATTCGAGGTTTATTCCTATTGCTCCCAAAGATTCCAGTAAAATAAATAAAGATTTCGTGGAAACATTATATCTGAAAACCGTAAATGTTGCTCAGAAAGTAACGTCACCACTTTTTAATACATCAAATGATTTAAAAAATTTCATTTCTTGTGCAATAACGATGACGACTATAACTACAACGACAACAACAACGGCTACGACAGCAACGACGACGATGACAGTGCAAGCATCTCAAAAAGAAAATAATAACAAAATAAATAATGATAAAGAGAAAAGCCGAACCGTATATAATAATAATAATTTTATTGGTAACTCAATTGCAAATTCCGCATGGCCGAATACCGTTAAATCAGTTGCTGGAGAATCGATAACTCTATATGGCAGTGAAACCAGCACAAAAACGTTATTAGATAGTTCAAATATGCCTACAATAAACATAGATGATAGTATTAGCTTATCCAATTCTGGATTATCTCCATATATAAAATTTAATTGCAGCAAGAACAATCAACATCAAAATTTATCAGACATTGATTTGACGCCTGTCATTCAGAATGCGAAAGTTGCTCCATTGAAAATGAATAGTATCATTAACGATCACCAATCTTCAGCGTCGAAAAAAACCGATTGTGATATCATTAGCAAACGTACTCCAAGATCGTTGCTGAGAAGTAGATCAAAAAATTATAGATTAAGTTTATCGACACCAAGGAGAAGAAGTAGTCATATAAGAGCCCTTGATTTTAACACACCGATGAAGACAACTATGTCTGATCAAATGATTGATGAAAACAAAGGTTCGCATTTTTCAGAATCCGCGAAACTCGTTACGTCTGTATGTAGAACTACTCTTTTTAAATCACCACAACTTACTAATGCTAGTGCGTCTACTCATAAAATTAAAACTCCATTAAAACATTATCCTTGTCAACTTCCAATAGCAACAAGAAGTCCAGCGCCTAAGCTTATGGGTGAATGGGAGAAATATAACGGACTTGGGATAATTATAGGCGATGTCTCTCCATGTTCAAACATCAATGTTTCTTCGGAAAATAAATTTGTCAAGATTCAATCGAAATCTCTGGATCTTACGAAAGGTGCATGGGATGCAGATTTACGAAAAGCTTTACACATCACTCTAGACGAAGACCAAAAACGGAAAATGTCTGCAAGTAACAAAAAAAGAAATAATGCGAAAGTTGCTAAATCAAGTGTTTTCTCATCGACAAAGAAGGACAAACGCAATTTACGTACAAAAGGAAAACGTAAAAATACTGCACCAAAGGAAGATGATATCATGCAAGATGCAAGAAATGAACGTAATATAAAAAAGTGGAATATAATGGAATCGTTGATAACAAAAACCATAGATTGTAATACGTCCGAGGCGAAGGAAGATTTTCTGGATGCTCACGTTAATAATACTCAAGAAATTAAATTGTCTAATACAAAAACAGTAAAAAAAAGTAATTCTGTTGTTGAACAAAAGAATACTCAAGATCAATTATTGTTAGCAAAGACCAATCATCTGTATGATAATGCAACAATAACGATAACAACAGCGACGACAACAACAACAATAACAGAAACGGCAGCCAATAATTTACCTGTTGAAAAGAAAAATATAAAAAAATATGCTCAATTAAAAACGTTGAAGACTAATCTAAATAAATATAATCGAACTGAAGAGAAACCATATTTAGAAAATATCATCTCGGTGGATGCGATGCAGAATTCAGAATCGAAAACTTCTATCGATATTACGCAACAATTGCTACAAATGCCTAATTTGCTCGATCACGGAACACCGAAAAAATTGGAGAATCTCAATGATATTCCAATGACACCAAGAGTGCTGAGTCCAAGCAGTAATACAACACCGTTTTTCATTAAATGTGACGATGATTCTAGTAAAATACGATGCTTTATAAATACACCAGAATTTCCAAAAACACCATGCATTGCGTTGACACCGAAAATAGACGAAACAGCCGCAGATAATACAAGAAAAGAAACATTTGATTCTTGTTCTCCGTATTATAAACCTACTTCTGAGCAAAATGAACGTGAAAAACAAACGAGATCGAGCAATAGTACAGAAAAATTACAATGTACAGACCAGCGTATACCTGAGAATATTATCAATTCTACAAACATGTATCAAGCCTGTGTATCTACAAAATTAGAAATAACACAGTTTGAAGTGATTAAAGAAAATTTACCAAAAGAAGAAGCGATAAAAGAACTTAAAATATCAGCTAATTCACGGGATGAATCACTTTATATAAAAGCTGATTGTATCGAGGATGTTAATAAGTCTAATGTGAATAAAGATATGTATGAAAAAACGAATGTTAGTAATGAAAAATATTTACCAAATAGCGAAGAATCGAACGATAGCAACGCGTCATCATCTTCTTCTTCATCGCTATCCTCATCGTCAACTTCATCGTCATCGTCGTCGTCCTCGTCCTCGTCGTCATCGTCGTCATCATCGTCATCACCATCGTCACCATCATCAGCTATTTTAACTAATTTAAAAACTTCTCCTGACAAGAAATGCAAAAAAATTGCAATTCAAAACTGTACTAATACAAGCAACGATATGACATGCAAGCTTACAAATGTTACAGAAACAGTAAATGAAAAAACGGAATGTTCAACAATTGTAGAAAATAATGTTTTAGAGAAGGAGGCAGTCGTTGCTTTAAAAGGATGTGAGTCTTCACCATTGAAAGTATTTCCATTGTTAAAAAATGAAGAAGATTATAAAACTAATATGAAAGAAACGCCTGCTAAAGACGAAACTTTTAATGAAGTGGATATTTCTGAGACTCCCAATAGTTCAAAGATTGGCATAGAGAATTTGACTAATTTGTCCTCTAAAATTTCTGCGTTAATAACTTCAGAGGACCGGAAGTTGTCAAAATCGAATCAACATTTATTTATGGAGAATTCTGCCAGTAAAAAATTGAAACAAAAGCCCAAGATAGTTAATATACAACATTTAAGATCAAATTCGATAATAAAACATTCTTCCATGCTAGAGAAAAGGCAAAAATCTTTGACTATAGATGAAAAATTAGTTATCCAATTGGAGGCAAAACGTCAACGTATGATAGCAAAATTTCGCGAAATACCTAAAACTAGTCTTACTCGGGGGAAAAATCAACAGGGTCGAATCATTTTTAGGGGAAAGAATAATATTAATTTAAAGAAGAACAATCAATATAAATGTAGTCAGAAGAATGAGGATAAATTCAACGAGAAGAAAAAAAAGAAAAAAAGGAAAAAAAGGATGGAAGAATCAGATAATTGTAATGATAATAGCAACAACATTAACAACAACAAATATACTGATGATAATGACAATGATTTTGATGACATTAATAGTAATATTATCAATAATGATAATAATGGTAATAGTAATAGTAGCAATAATGTAAACAATAGTGCTAATAGTAACAATAACATTGACAAATGTACAAAGTATTTATCCATTGATAATACGTCAGAAAGTAAAATTTATAACTTAGAAAATTCAAAAGAAAGAGATAACAATAAAAACATGCAAAATAATGATTTAATTATCAAAAATGACACCAATAAAATCATTGAAATACCGGCTGAAAACATTACTAGTGACATTGAAGTCAATATATATCAACAAGCAAATGCGCTTAAAATGGAAAATCAAACTCATGCAAAACACACGCGTAACAAGATTGACACGGAAAATGAAAAATGTGAGAATAATACCGCTAGCAAAAATATTTTACATGGAAATGACTTCAATAATATAGAAAACAATTATAATGGGAAAGATACGTGCAAATTAAAAGAATGTCTAAATTATAATAGTAATAAAACAAGTACTTTATTAAAATCAAAGGTTGATCATGTAAAGCGAGATTTGTTCAATGACGAGGAACAAGTATTAAAGAAAGAAGAGACATTAAATGCTGAATTTTCGACTAATCGGAAAACTAATAATGTTCCTAATGTTCAAACACACGATACCGTTAAGAATACTACAACTACTGAAAGTACCAATTCCCAAAATTCGAAGAGTTTATCGCACGTTCTTCAATGCTTACAGCTTATTCCGACGTACAAGCAGGATTGTACAGCAGAATCTCAATGCACGAAATATAATCGTAAATTAGATCTCAATGCAACTATTCCTAACTCAGTAGAATATCATTTTCTATATGACGATAATGCATCCTTCAAAAAAAGAAGGCGACGGTATAGTAATCATGAGTTAGAATATCAAATTAATATTGTTTTGAACGATCAAACTTGTAAAGAGAGAGTTAAAATAATGACTGCCACTGATTATGAGGAAATATTTAACTTGCCGCCAAAGCCTAGAAAAAGATTAGGAAACAAGAAATCACCAATTAAATATGAAAATAGTTGCGAAGCATTAAATAAAATATCTGTCGATAGTTCAGTTATTAAAAGTATAAACGCGAAACCTATAGCTACTTCATCTCCTCTGGAGAAGCCATTAATTTGCACAATGAAAAAAGTTGCTGTTAAAACTACCATGAATGAAAGAAAAAACGAAGTATCGCACAATAGTACAAAACGATTAAAAGTAAATAAAATTCGAGAAGTTGATAAAGGTAAACAGTAATTTTGATTGAAATAAAAATATTAATTTACTAATAACATAGATTTAATAATTTATCAATTTCAGCTAACATTACTGCAAAAATTTCGAAACGAAAGATACCGGATTTGAAAGAAAGTAAACAGGTTTGTAATTAATTTTTGAAACGAACTTCTTCGTTCGTTTGTTCATTCATTCGTATTATTTTTTATCTTTTTGTCTTCTTTCCTTTTAGACTGAGAAACAAGAATGTACAACGGATCCACAAACATTACTAAACAATTTAGATCTAGATAAATTTTTAACTTCAGTCCATGGACCAGCATAAATATTAAATATAGCTTTTTAAAGTTGTATAGAAATATGTATCAATATAATACATAATTATATATATTATGATATCATATATTATTATATCATATATTATATCATATATATATTATTATATTATATAATAATATATTATGATATAAATATTATATATTATAATAATCTGTATAATATATTATATACATTATACATAGTAATAACAAATATTTTTATTGTTATTAACTCCTTGAGAAAATGTTTTGTATTAAATTCTCCATTACGCATAAAGTGTATTTATTTTACAAATGAACAAAATAAAAATAGTATCAAATTTTTAAATTTTGGCACATGTATGAGATGGAATCTTTTATTGAAAATGATATCTCATAAATATAACATAAACTGACTTTGAATTATATTATTTCATAGATGTAATTTAACATACTTGTAATTAAAGAATATATATATTAAGGATATGTGTAGTTTTTTTACAAATAATAAAAGATTAGGTATTTAATAACTGAAAAACTGTAAAATATTTACTAGATACACAAGAAAGTAGATATTATTCAGCACTTGGACTTTACTGCTTTATCCACATCATCCACAACAGATAATAATTTTCGCCATTGTGGTATGCTCAAGCAAATACCTACATATAAAATAAAATATTAATAAGATATTATAAGATATAAAATATTATAAGATATTATTGCTTAAGGCATACAAATATGTTAACAAAATTAATACCTTTCTTTCCAGGTTTCAAATTTAATTCTTTATCCATGTACATTTCTCTAATGTCAACATACAATTTTCCTTTGAAATCTCTTACACTAACTTGACGATTATTTCCCAACTCCCAAACGTTATCTTCATTTTTATTGGATTCTTTTTCTGATGCCTTTTTTGATTTTTTTTCCTCTTTATCCCCATTTTCTCTCTTTCGCTTCTTTGATTTTACTTCCTTATATGATGAAAAAGAAAAAAAGATATATATATATAAATAACAAAAAACATGTAAATATATATACCCATTTCACAATGAATTTTACATAAATCTATTCTTGCATAAATTCTATTCAACCAAAAAAAAAATTATATTAATTGATATTGTCTGACACATACATGTATAAGCATATTATTTAATATAAATAAAATACCTCATCAGAACTATCATCATCCGAATATATGAACTCTTTTGATTTCGGCATTTTCTATGTACGCGTTTATCTGAAATAATTTTCAATATATTAAATTCAATCAGATTAGATTTTTATTAAAGAATAATTATTCTATGCCCAGACAATGCAATAAAAATTTCAAAACATTTCACCATTTTGTATATTATAACCTATTAATAAGTACGACATATTTATTTACTTGAATCCATGTAACTTAAAAAATTGCATATGAATTTGCCAAAAAAATTAACATAATTGTATTAAGCTTACCGAAAGAAAGTGAAATGAGATTCGCGTTATTTATTTTAACAATAATTCAATCAGAAACAAGCGATACTCTTCGTAGGATTATGGAACAAATGCATCTTACGCGCCCTCGTGCGTAGAAATAAAAGGAAAGTATATAAAAGAAATGCGACTCTGATTGGTCATGTTGGATAGATTCAATACAATCTCAAATATAAGGATATTCATTGGCCGAAACTGTCACAAACACAAACGAACTTGAATAGCATAATGTAACGGTGACCGGAAGGATTATTCTCTTTACCTTCTCTATACCGGATACCATCTTTCCATTTCTGCATACGTAGAGCGCCGATTTCCGGTTTTTCTCGATTTTCAAATATCTGTTCTATACTTCGATTTTTATGTTATGGAAAAAGCTGATAAGGTTTTTACAGAAATATTACAAATTATGAGAATCAAATACATTAAACTTTTATATATTTTACATCAGCCGGAACATACGTATACACATAATTTTATCATATTTAGCAAAGATGTAACAAAATAATAAAACAGTTATTCTCTTCTCGACTTATAGTTTACAATTACAGTAGTCAATACATGAAAACTTCTCAATTTGTTATTCAAGATGTTGGATAACACAGAGAAATTACAGCGTATAATTTTACAGTATAATTACATACATTATACGTCAGTATAACAAATCTTTCTCATACGCAACCAACACTATGAACATGAAATACCTGATCGTTGTTTCATGTTTGTTTTCAGTGTTATTTCGTGCATTTATATTTCTATTATATTGTAACATAACGTGTTGAAAAATCTCTTATTAATATATTAATAACCGATTAAAAATCGGAGAAGTATGGTATGCCAACTAAAAGGCATAAATAATTTATAACTAAAATTTAATACATTGAGTGGAAGTATAATACGATCGCTCATAAAATTCTTCATACATTCGATGAAAGATTAGTAACTGATATTTTAAGTTGTTATAACTTCATGAAAAAAATGTATAATCTATTCATTTTAAAACATGAAATCTTTACTTTGATAATCTTGCAAGACAGAAAGCAAGTATAGTTTTAAAGAGAAAAGAGAAAATTTCAATCTTTAAGATTAGATGGATATAAACATGAAAAAAATTTTTCAGTAATTTTAGAAATATCTGAATTTTCAAGAATGGAAATTATAAAAATTACAGCTTATTGTATAATGTAGAAATATCCTTAAAAAAGAAAAGCTTAGAATTATTAAACTAAAGGCTTCAAAGTGAGGCTAACTAGATTATTATACGATTTTTTTCATAAAACTATAACAGTTTAAAATATTGACAATTTTTATGTTAATGAATTCTATGAGTGACTATCTCGTATGGATATAAATACGTGCAAAGAATGAATTTCATTTTATTAAATTTTACTTAGAATAAATTATTCATCTTCGTGTATTTTATTTTACAACATAAGACTATTTACGATTACTATTTTTAACATTTTGTTGTTACCATATTCTTTGCTTTAAAAATCTTCCTCATTCACGATGAACAATTGGGCTTGATTAATTATTATTATTTGCAATTCGAGACGTTCGAGTTAAAGGCCGTCGACTTTCTTCATCTGAACCATATATGACTTCTTCATCGGAGTCATTAATCATAGAAAATGTAGGGTTATCCTTAGTTATAGAAGAATCTAATATTGATTGAAATAATAATACATACATTGATTTGTAGAAAGAATTTTTTATTATTGAATCAAAAGAGATACTCACGTTGCCCATATACTTGTTGATATGCCGGTGCATACACATAAGCCATCGTATATAGGTAAAAATTTAGAAGACCATATAAAGCCATGAATTGCGCAGATGAACGATAATAAGTTGTAAGACGGGAGGCGAAGCTATCCTCAAAAATACCAGCTCCAAATTGTCGTGCTGTCACACAACCACAAACCAATGAAACCACAGCGGCAAGCAATGTCAAGAAACGTAAACGAAGATCTGAAAAAGAAACAGAATAGAAACAAAGAAATAAGTAGATACCATGTAGACAGATAATATAGCATGAATACTCTATAAGAAACTGTAAATAAAAATTCCAAATATGTTTATAATCATACCAAAGTATGGCATAGATCTCAATTCGCTATATGCTCTTAATATTAAGAGAAGAAGATATGCTATGTAAAATCCTCCTACTGTGAAGAAGAATACTTTGAAACCCTATAATCATGTAGATTCTTTAGTATTAAATAAAAGTATTAAATAAAAATATTGTATTCTAAACATATAATCATTGATTATTTTGATAACTTACAAAATAATTTGATGTATCAAGAACATAATTATAAGTGGGATCTTCTAATTCTGTACAGCGCAACCATGTTGCTAAAATAAATGCTGAACACCACAATAAGCCCACTACTAAAACTTTTGGTAAATAAAATGTAATAAGACGCCTTTCATTCTGTCAGAATGTAAAATTCATAAATACATAAATACAAAAATACTCTGATTTAAATTTGCCAAGTCACATTATAATATCATACTTGTCTTAAACCATGGTAAACACATAACCAAAACATGAGAACTGCACAAAGAAATGTCGTTTGTAGAATTGCATCTATCATACCAGGTATCCAAGAATTGACTAAAAATGTCATTGGAAATAATGGATCTATAAACAAAGTAAAATAAATTAGTTTTTTGAAAATTAAATGAAGGATTTTTGAAACAAATTCATTAATTTTTGATGACTTACTATTGTATAAAATTAACAAGGGAAGTAGTATAGAAATCCATTTCTGTTCTATTGACCAATCGTGTAATGGATACTTTCGTAGTGAATGTCCAAACCAACACTAAAAATTGATGTTACTGACGTATGTATTCAATTAATATATAAATATATACAAAATTATTTTTTACCATAACTCCAAATGCAATTAACAAAAAGATAAATCGAAACCAAATCTCGAACTCTGTGAACGCTGGATTGTAATTCTTGAACTATGAACAAGTAAAAACATTATCAAGTGCGATTATTCCAATTCTAAAAAATCTCTTATTTCACATAGTGCTTACTGACGTAGAATGTGAGATCGCGTATGTTATAACGTTGATGGAAGCTTTCGAGTCCATGAAAGCGAACAGTAATAATATAGTAATTGTAATCGAGAAATCCTAGATGAGCAACTACAAGTTCTTCACACATTTGTCTTTCACATTTCAAGTGTCTAGTTCTATAAGGAGAAAGCATATATTAATAAACTTTTTACATTATTTCATTAAAAATTGAATTATACATACTATTTCAGACATACCTATTATGACCAGTTTCTGAAGGCAGAACAGGTATAAGTTTATGATCAATGGTAATACCATCTATGGAGATACTCACTTGAAAACTTTTGTCATATCTTTCATCTGTAAAATTTGAAACATATGATTACAATTTCATTATTTGCTGAAAATTTTTCTTTTTGTATTTACATTACCATCATTATTAGATGTTAATAATTTTGCAATGACCCATAGCTGTTGACTATATGTAGACAATAAAGGGGTTTTCATAATAAAAGGGCCACTAGCAATTTCACTACCATTTACATGAGCTCTTTGTTCACTTGTAGAAGTGATAGGAGGACCTATATTGATATAAAAAGACCAATAATAAAAGAAAAAGCATTTTTATAAATTATACTCTCTTTATAATTTTACTTACCTGCAAGTCCAATAAATACAGCTAATCCAAAACATGCAAAAAAGGCAACAAATACCATAACAAATTCCCTCTTGTGCATAGAATATAATCGCATTTGAACTGATCTAAAAAATAAAAATATTATTATCAAATATATTATTGAATATGTGATAGGAATAGATATATGTACCTTTCACAACGATCATGATGATAGGCAGGTGCAATATACTTATTGAATTCACTGAAAAGATCACTGAACTGTGAAAGTATATTTCTAACTCGAAAATTCCATCCTGCAGAAGGAAGATGATACGAGTATCCTAATCCAGGACCATCCATTTTTATATTACACCTATCATGTTATGTAGATTTTTTATTATGTATATTTTTACAGGCATATTGTCACCTTTACAAATGATATTTGTACAATTACATACTGACGTACACATGTAATATTTGTTTTCACTTTGTTTTTATAAAGACAAGTAGATAGATTTTCTTATATTGATTTGATTTCTTTCTATTTTTTTAATAAAATTTCACATCTCATACAACAGTCCACGTGTTCAACGAAAATGTTAAATATATATCCATACTTGAACTTAATAAATTTATTCGTACAAGTAAAACTCGTATTAATAAAATGTATCCATAAGTACTTATATAAGTAAAAACTTATTATTACCTTCTAATTTAATAGTGACTTGATGGATATTTGTACAATTTCAAGATCCTTGCACGAATCGATTTATCATATTAAATTTTAATAATAAAAGAGCATATATTGTTAAGCGTTCGTCAATTTAACAATTAGATTTGAAAGATTTAATTTGCCGAGAACAGTAAACAAATTTGCAACGGCATATGAAACAAAAACGGCAGACATCATGATGCGCATTATTGATTTTTACGACCGCCATAGAACGGCAGAAAGTTTGTCATTTAAAAAGTATTTATATATAATAGAAATTATTTAAAATTTTGCACTTATTTCAAATAGTATTATAATATTTTAATTTTAACTGCTTATAAAAAAAATGAAATAATCATTAATGAAATATACTTTTATATCACTTGTGTGTGACTAATTAAAAACGGAATGTAAAAGAATTATAATAAAAATTTTACTAATTGACCCAGTAACATTAAAAAATTTAATATGATTTATTATTTAAAATAGTTATATATTTATGTATATTTTGTATAGTAGCAATGAATCATTTTTGAACAATCGAAAGTTCCTACGTTTTTATAATTATGTATTTTTAATAATATATATATAAAGTAAATCTATTTATACATATAATATAAAATACAGATACAAATACAAAGATAGACAAACAGAAATTACTTCTGTAAAAATACAGTCTATAATGCTCTTAATCCCAATATTTTATTTTTGCATCCCAACCTGCTGTAGCTAATCTTGAAGGTTCATGAGGATGCCATAATACGTCGATACAGACACCGTCATGTGCTTTCCACTTTTTATACAATTTCGTTGTTTTCCAATCCCAAATGTAACATTTTCCATCCGCATCTCCCGACACAAGGTAACTTAAGAAAATTAGAAAGAAATTAAGTTTTACCATGCCAAAAGCAATTAACAAAATTTTTCTTACCTCATATCAGGAGAAAAGTCCAAACCACACGCATAACCAGCAACCATGTGACCCGTAAATGTTTTCTTGCGATTCATTTTAAATCTGTTTAATGCAGAAAATATAACAATTTTATTATCCATGCTCTGGCATGCTAACCACTTTTGATTAGGAGAGGGTGTAACTGCTGGCATAGAATGCATCGAAGGATCAGCTATGTATTTCATGTCGACCGGTATATCCCATTCCCATACTCTTAAACTTTTATCATCCGATGTTGTTACAAATCTTCGATTTTCATCTACGAATGTTATCGTATTTACAGCCCCCAAATGTCTGTCATACTCTTGTGTTATTTCACCAGAACGGATATCCCACTGTAAGATACATCATAATTCATTATCTGTAAAAATTGACAAGTATAAAATTCTTAAAATTATTAGAACATGATGTTTGTAACTTACGCAAATAATTTTTTTGTCACTGGTGCCCGCTACAAACAAATGTTGCTTATCTGGATCAGGATTAAATTTCACGCAGTATGGAATTTTTCTGCTAGTAAATCGACTTATGCAACCACCTGTTTCTGTATCCCATAATTTTACATAACGATCATATCCAGCAGACAAAAATCTTTTCCCATCATTATCAAAGCTTATATCTCTTACAGCTTGACGATGACCATAATAAGTTCGGATACATCTTCTATCTTTATAAACCTCCCACAACTATACTTAATAGAATATAAATTGATACTTGATATCTGTCTTTTATATTATTTTTCACTAAAAGTTCAAATATGCACATACCTTCACCCTACAATCCATGCTACTAGAAAGTAACAAATGTGCAGTACGTGGAAACCATCTGATTTGTGAAATACCCTTGGTATGTCCTTCCCAAGTATGAATTTGTGCTTTTGGTAAGAAGCATCTGTCGGGTGGTGATTCTGATCTTAAATTTACGCCAACATCCTGTGGTGCATGTAAAAATGATCTGCCTTGATAATCCACACTATCTTTAACTAGAAAAGGAAAAAAATTGTATAATTTCTTGTTATTTACATAGTTTATATATTTAAAAATTATCATAATAGTACTATGTAATACTGTTTTCTCTTCGAGTGGTTTTTCTTCTGTTGGTTTTCCTCGTCTATTTCTTTTTGCTAATATTTCTTCTAATTCCGCGGCTTCTTCCTCAGTTGGTTTAATAACTCGTTTTTCATCTACATATCCACCCCACGGACCTAAAAATCCTTCTATATCTGCAGGATCATCATTCCTGTGACGTTTTCTTTTGTCAGAAGCCCTTAGTGTTGTACTTTCAAATACAGTTTTACCACCAGATTCTTCAGCAGCATCTTTTGCACCAATGATTGTTTTACCTTCTTCTGCACTACCATCTACAGTTGGATCTAGTGCATACCCTGTAAAATATATTTATATGACCTTGTGATCATATTGCAATATCTGATTCTTTTCTTTGTTATATGCTAATATTATCATATTACGTACCATAACTAGCAAATGTTCTCCTTTGATTTTCAAATTGAAACTCGCTTATATGAGCTTTCTCAACATATCCAGAAAGCATATTTTTTACAGCACGTTGTTGTTGCGTTTTAAATGGATTTTCTGGACCAATATCCGGTGCAAAAAGTTCTTCATATTTAGGGTTGTGCATTATCTCTTGCACGGTTGAATCTATATGGTTTATACATAATTCTGTTCCCTGCACATAATTAATTTAAATATCTATTAAATATCTATTAAGCATCTAATAATTTCAAAATTGTATGTAATTTTAATCTTGAAATAGTATAACACAAAAATACTCTCTAACCTATTTTGAATCAATGAAAGAAAACTTATTATACTCACCATTGGTATTACTTCGGGTGCGGAACAAATTTGCATATTTAGAGATGCAACCAAATTTTCTGCGGGAATAGAATTAACGGTAGAAGCGTTGATAGAATCGACGATACAGTTAACCTCACTTTTTTTATTTTCACTTTCATTTTCGGGTTCACTGTTATCGTCGCCGCTGCTACCATAATCTTTCAGTGCAAGCATATTATAACAAGAAACGTTTATATTGTGTTATATTCAAAATCAATCAAAAGCACTGCGAAATAAAGCTGTTCATCGGGGAAAAACCAATTGCATTCTTGTTTGTATGCAATAATGTCAGGTACAAGTCAATTGGATGCTGTGATTCATGTAGTAAACACACGAAACTGGTCAACGGGAAACACACATACACATAGCACATGTACGTATTGCATTAATTACTTATATTAATTATTGTTATAATAGGAAAATGCATCAAAAGTGATCAACAAAGGATATTGACTTGTTGATAAAATTTTCGGAAATGCTAACCTACATTCAATAGAAAATGAGTAACATTGAAAGCGCCTCGTGTTTCATTCCGGATTTCAAGCCCGATGAAGACAATACGTTGTTACGAAATTTCTCAGGAATGAATTTACCTGAGAAAATTTTATTCGTAATCGATACGGCAAGAGAGAGGAATTGTACACCATTCAAATTGTCTACAGGAGCTAGCTATATGCCTTTGTTCATGATAAAACGAACTATAGAAAATTTTATTTACATTAAATCTGTCATCCAGCATAGCCATGAATATGGATTAATGATCTTGAATTCTCACAGCTTTCAATGGATATGCGATTTTACCAATAACACCAACAGTGTTGTTAATCATTTGAATTTTATTAATGATGATTTCCTAGAGGAAGATAAAAAAACATACGACCTTGGACAAATGTTCGATGAGATAGAACAAAAATTACCTCTGCCAAATAAGAAATCTGACACAGCTGTTCCAACATTCGTTGTCAGAATAATTTTAGTGTATTCACGTTCCAATAGCATCCCAAAATTTCATCTTGACAAAAAGCCTTTAGATACTCTTACAAAAAATCCATATTTTTTCATAGATGTATTATATGTACACGAACCACCCTGTTCTGAAAATTTATGTGAAGAAATTTATTCTGAAATAGCAACATTGGATACAACAAATTTTTCATACATATTAGAAGTAGGAAGGAACGCAGCAAAATTGCACGATAGTATGGCTAAACTATTGGCACATCCACTACAGAGACCACCTCAAAAAGACGTGTGTTATACAATTTGTCCACCTTCTCAATGTTCTCAAGACACGTGTAATAATGTTTAATAGCATATAACTTTTTGTCTTTTGAAAATTGTTAAAAAGGAAATTAATGTCAATTTACAAAATATGATCATTGACAATATATGTAATAAATAAAAAAAATAAAGTAAATAGAACTAATTTTTTTTTATATTTAAACATACAAATGTACAAAATAATGGGGCATTAAACTTCAAAGTTTAAGACACCTTTCACACATCTCCTGATATATATTATGCTACATAGCTATTAATATAAGCTTCTCGTTTATCATTTTTTTAACAATTGACAATCTCAAAAAAGTTATCAACAAATTTTCATGCACGAAATTTTAGGGCACTGGATGGACAAAGCAAAATTCTTTGACTCATAAATTTTATATCAAATTTTATGTTCGTTTACAAAATAACGTAATATGACATAAGAATATTCATTAACTATTCGCTTGCATGTATCATTACATGTAAAAATAAGAAGTATATTAATTACTTATTATGAACACTGTTTTTAACAATTAATGGTATTTAATTTTTAACAAGTATGCTTATAATATTTATATCACAGTATAGAAATACTCAATAAATAAAACTATTTACAATTGAAAATAGATTAGAACACAAACGGATATTTCCTAAATAACAAATGCATTTCATTCTAATTTCGTTTAAATATCAACATATACAAATTGATTTTTTTTAACTGAAATTAGCAACTTTTTAACTGCAATATTTTATAATGAACTATAATGAATTAAAATTTTCTTGGTACCAAACTATTTTTACAAGGATATTTCTTTGATGTTTTTAATTTCTCATAGTTTATTTAATTTTTTTTTTGTTAGAATGTATACTCTATATCTACTAAATATTATGTATTATTTGGTAACATGATTATTTGGCAATTTAAAATAATACAATGACGTTAATTCTCGTACAAAAGAATGTTGTACCAGACTAAATTTTCATACATATCACTTGTATATCACTTACTTAACTGTAACAATGCAATTAAAATAGTATATTTACAAACAATTCTCCTTTTCTTACACAATCTTACAGACTACAGCTATAAAAGAGCAATGAGAAAAAGAAAGAAACAAATACGCGAAATAACTGAGGTACTAGCTGAGGATGACATTTGTAATGTTCTTAAAACTTGCGGTAACACCTTTATAAATTGTTGTATGCTGTTCTCAGTAATTTTATCTTCCGTTGCGTTTGGAATTTCCGTAGTGTTTAGTAACATATTGGCGGTACTTGGTTTGAATGGTATATCTTTAGGTTGCCAATTACCGCAAGAAGGAAAATTATTTGGTACTGGTAACATATCTTTGTGCTCGCCAACTTTAAAAATTAACGACATTCCAACTTCCGCATGGAATTCAATGTGACAGTGGAACAACCAATAGCCTAAAAGTATATAAAATTTGCAAAAATTTTGAATGATATTTGTTCAACGACTAATTTTAGTTGTCATACCTGGATTATTGGCATGAAATCGTAAAATAGTATAACCACCATCCGGTACTGTTACGGTATCTTTTAATGGGGCACGATCAAGATTTCGTCGTATCGCTCCTTCTTTGTCCAATGCCTTTATTTGATCAACGGTGACATTCTTGCCAATTCTTTTCATTGCAATCACACGAAATTGATAGCCATGAAGATGGAACGGATGGTTCGCATCATACGCGAAACCTAAAAAATAAACAATTGAAAATCGAGAAATATTAATTATGTAATTGTGTATGTACAAATTATGAAGCAAATATATAATTTCCAAACCTTCATCTACCAAGATTATTTCTACCACACTACCAAGCTTTACTTGGAGGACATGAGTGCAAGCACAATAATCATGTACGCAGTCTTGAACAGTACTCGCATTACAAAATTGATCTGAATCGATGAGATCTCTTTGAGATAGCAAAGGCATGGATAGTAGCTTCATTGAGATATGGTTCAACTGAGGAGTGAGTACTCGTTTTGTATTTTTTACTGAAAATTAGATTGATCAAACAAGAAATTTATTAAATATTACTTATTTATATATTACATCTTAAATGGTATTACCTTGATTAAATCCATAAAGCTTTCCGCGATGGAAATGAGGATTATCTTTCTTGTAAAAATCATAAGACACGTAAAATTGATAATCAGGACGTGCAATATTCGATTTGTCATTTTTGTCCATGGCTTTTAACAATGGTATACTGATGCTGTTATTAGTTTCCATGCCTTCATTCAAAGCATTTATTCGCTGAAAGAGAAAGATGTGTTAGAAAATATATGTACACATATATCGTTGTACTTCAAATAGAATTATGACATGAACACACCTGACCTATATATTCATTTGATTCGCGTTCATACGAGACTACACCGTCTGGATCTTTTTCAGGTGCACCTTCGTATCGTAATACAGCAACCTGATAAGCCTTGGTAAATCTTTCATCACAATCCATTAATCCACGAAATCGCATCCAATAGTTATCCACATCTTGATTAGTTTCAACAATGAAGTCGAATCTTTCGCCGGCATAGCTTATCAAAGATTCCGCTGAAATTATAAACTTCGTATTAAAGAAATTCTTTCCTTATCTTTTCCTTTCTCGCTTTTTTCCCCTTTATATTTATATTTATATGCGTACCTTCGACGGGTTCAATATCACGTCCATCTGAACTAATTACACGTAGGGTATGATTATCGATCGACAATTCGATTGGGCAATTAAGAAATTCAGCGTTAATAAGTCTAAATCTGTATCTAGTATTCTGCAAGTATAAATGCAAATGTAAGTATAAATATAATGAAGTATACTGCAACGAATGATGGAAAACGACCTTACAACGAACGAATATGTTATAACGAACGCGAAGAAATACAATTTATAAATTTATATATATGTGCAATGTAAAATATATAATAATAACAATTTAAATTTATAATGTGTATATTCTTATTTTGTATATATACTATCTAATTTACGTATAGATTATACATGTATACATTATATGATATATATACCATTATAGAATATAAAATATACATTATATTCTCTGTATGTATATGTATCTTGTAATATATATGTATATATATGTATATAACGGTTCTAGAACGAATTATAATTTGTACAATGTATAATCGAAAATTTTCATCAGAAATTATTTTCGCAATATTACCTGTTTTACGGTAAATGTTGCAGTTGGCATTATAGCGGATATATTGTTTTCGTGTCGATTAATAGTGAAACGGCCTAAACCATTGACCAAAATATTAGGCGGTTTGTTGTCTCCACCTGCATGATGATGACTTAAAAATTTATCAATTCCTAATTCATGAGTCCAATCCGAAATCAGGATAGTATGTTCATCAATATCATACAAATCTTTGTGCCAATTTACTTTCGGTGATGTACGCACAATTAACGCACCGTATACTCCGTCGCCTCTTTGGAAGCCTAAAAGTTTGGATTTTTATTAAAAACTATTGGCCACATAGATTGGATGCATAGATTGAATAAAAATTTTCTCGCACCTAAATGAGAATGCCAAAAATGTGTGCCCGCCTCGGTGGCAATATAATCATAACGGAAAATTGAACCTGGCAAAATCGGGCATTGAGATACATAAGGTACACCATCCATATATGGCGTCTTAACATGATGTTGACCATGCCAATGCATTGTCGTGCTCTCAGAATGCAATAAATTTATTACATCGACTATTATCCTGTCACCTTGACACACCTAGATCCGATTAGATAATTCACTCATTAATAAATTCTAGTTTAATTACGAATAGTGTAGACTCTAAGACTGTTGAAGAATATCACGGAATTTGAATTTTGTTCGAGATTTATCATCAATATCCTTAAGAATTTCCGTAATTAAATATCATTCTTCGTTTACCATTAGGAAATCTGACGGATCACGTAAACCGGATAAAGCAGAATCATTTCAATATGAAACGATGTCACGTAATGACGACAAGATCATAACATGATGATGTTGAATGTATAAGGTTATATATAGGTAATACTTTTGTGATAATCCAAGATACATGAAAGAATTATATATTTTTACTTTTGATCTTTAGTTTTTCACGTTTTCTTAAGTTTTTTACATTTCAATCAGTATCAAGTTCGATCAACACATTTCTGACATTATTTAGTTGTATATGTATATACCTCGATAGGTGGTCCAGGCATTTGCCGGTTAACCACTAAAATCGATCTTTCGACTCCATCTGCCGGGATACAATGTTCGCGAAAACAATCCGTGATATTGAATGGGCAATCGTAGCATGCTTTGCTCATTGTATGATACGCTTCTAACCTAAAGACGTAATGACATTCCATTGGAGGTGTTTCGTCTTTGCAATTTCGTCGACAAGGATGCTTCGTCCAGTCCAATTCATCCGCCACTTCCGAATCGATATCCTCGAATTCAAAATCGTCAGGCGCCATTATAATAGTTTCTAAGGGAACAAAGGATCAATATTTTTATAATGTAATATTAGAAGTATAGTGTATTAATGGAATACATTAGATCTAGCTATAATTATTAGAAAAATATTTATATTCCATTAATTGGTTATTGAACAGAAGATGATTTTAGTAATATACAGAGCGGATATTGCGTTTAAATAAATCCATAGTGAATATTTTTCCTTAATATACTATACATTAGAATTTCATTATATTACAAATGTATGCTTTTTTTTAAAAAATAACAATTATATTAATTATTATTATTACAAATTCAGTGCTTTAATAAAAATGGATTCAGCATACACGGAGATTAAGTAACGAAAATCTATCTATATCAATTATAATCTATAATCTATATTATATACAGTGGAAAATTGATATTTCCTCGTCTTTGTACGTATATTGAGTAACGCTAATAACTGATATCGTTTTTTACTTACCTGAGAGGAAACGGGGAAACAATAAAGAAAGTTCTATCAAAAGCACTATCACTTTTCGATGCATCATTCTTCGTGTCGTCTGCAAATTTATAATGTTGTGAAATATCGTAAACACGTGAAATTAATAGTTGCACTAATACTATTATTACAATCGCTGCACTTCATCGGTAAAAAAGATTGTACAAACAGCATAGACACCGAACAGACAGTGCATTCGGCAATGAGATTGACGGCAAGCAAATAGAGGAAATAAACACAACATTTCACTTTATCTAATCTAAGTATCACAAAAATCTGATGCATTGTAAATGAGAGTATTAAATTTAAACGAACGAATGCATTAATAAGGAATTTGTATAAAATAGATATCAGTTTAAAAGCGAAGTAACAATAACTTGATTGGACAAACGACAATCTACATTGTTAGTATTTTGTTAATTTTGGATGATCTGTGCAAAAAAATTATACATTTTATAACGAAATATATGTGAAAATATACCGTACGTAAAATTGTCGTCAATGCCATTCAATCGTTTTTTTATTTTTTTTTCAAAATTTCGATTGAGAAAACTTGCACCAAATAGTATCTTTAAACTGAACGTGATTATTTAACGTGATTATTAAAATTCTTTAATGTCTAAGAATAAATCTTTTTTTATCTCTCGTTATCGTATAGAAAAAGGGTAAAAAAAAAAAAAAAAAAAAAAAGGAAAGAAAGAAAAAAAAAGTGAAAGTTTAATCTGAAAGACTAACAATTTTTCGTCGTTTTACTCCTTAGTTTTAATACAACAATGTGTCGGCTTTATATTCGGCGTTTTGTTCGTTCTAATACGTATACGACAGTGTAAAATCAACGATGTTTTAAGAAAGACTGGATCAATGCAGCGATGTTCGTTTCTCTATACAAGGATTTGTTGGAGGTCACGCGTACCCCACGAATTGCCGACAGTCCTCTTACTTTACCCGTGTCTACAGCACGATGCAAATAACGTCAACGATTTCGTATTATTTCCTTTTGTAATTGTTCTTCCCCTGGAAAAAAAAATATCGCGGGAATTTCCGCCGATATTCTCTCAAAGAAATGTTCTGTCATATCTAATGATTTAGCATCGATATCGAATGAATCTCCCTTTTTGACGCATCTGCCATGATACGTATCGTATTTTAAGCACGAACGGTCAATTTTCATTCAGAATCAGAAACAAATTCTTAATAGCTTTTTATTGTAAAATTACAAATGTTGAATCATGTAATTGTACAGTTTTATCGTATTAAAAATGATAACGAGGCAAACTTCTCTCATTCCGACATTCCGAATATTATCTCGTTCATCTGGCGAAATTTTACCAGATTCTTCGAAACTACGTTCTCATGTACGTGGCGGAATGCATCTTTTGGCGTACTTATCTTTGTATGCAATGTATAGGTATGTGAAATAAATGATAAATGAATGAATGAAGTTAAGATATTTTCATTCGATGAATAAATAAAAAATGAATAATAAATAAATGGATTTACTTGCTACTTATGAAATAGTCGAATATAATGTGTAATACGCGTAACTATTAGTGGAATTGTTATTTTAACTTTTATAAGAAGAATAAATGACAGGATGATCCTCTGTGAAGTAAATGTATTTCAAAATGAGCCTCTTAAAAACGTGTAAGTTTCTTAATGAATGTACGAATCAAAAGAAATCATAAAAATTTGATGAATTCTTAGATAGACTCGTGCTTATCTATCTATCATAAAATCACGTTTGATACATAGGGAAACACGATAAAAGATTTCATTTTATGGTCCGGATGAGCATCACCTTTATAAATACATAACTGCTCCGTGCGACAATTTGAGATAACGAGTAATTTTTTACACGAACGATTGCAAGATGCAGCCTTAAGCATTAATCACGTTGTTAATCATCATTCGCTCGTATATATATATAGTACATTGTATACATATAGTAAAATTGCATGAATTTTTTCAAAGAATCCGGCGACCGAACGCGCAACACGCGTCACGGTTTTCCCATTGAAATCACACGTAACATACATATATCATGTAAAATCGCTTGCCGTATATATAAATAGAAAATACTGATAGTCTAGTAACGACGACCGACGTCAATGACAATGATAATTCTAATAATAATATGTAATTTTTCTCAAAAATTTCTCACGCATCGTGCAACTCTAAATATGCAATTCTTATATGCAATATATATAGCGACGTTAATAGTCGTACATTACATAGATATTTTCCTGATTAGATTGACGTAAGATAATTTTCTTTACATGTAAGCGAGTTTCATATAAACGGGAACAGGAATTTAAATTAACACGATCGCAAACACCCTGATATTCACACGCACGCAACACATGCATCGCAATTCGTGAAACACTTCGGTGTCTTTATTACGTAATTATTACATTTCTCGAAAGAACGAATTTGAAAGGAGGTCAACATTTACAAACATAAAATGTTTATAGCATAACAATGTTTCATTGGAAATATCACGAAGATTTGACAAGGAAAAAAAAAAGTTATTTGCTTCGATCAAGAAACTAGATTGAAATATGAAATTATTCATGTAATCCAGAATGTCAAGTACAATTTCATCATGACGTTTACGTGAGAATTTTGAAGAAACAATATTATTATTAATATTATACTGCCAGTACATAAATCAATTTAGTCGATATAGATCATTCTCATTTTCAATACAAACTAATTTATTATAATTAACGTTGTTCCATATGTATTTATATTTGATATAATTTAGGATGAGAATAAAGGAGAAAGAGAAGAGAAAGTTTACGTTAGAACATTAACCTTCGTGTAATAATCGGCGATGTCGACGAAGAGGCTACGCAATAACAGGTGTACACATACGTAACGCGCAAGGACGTGCCAGAATATTTCCCTTGATCGTTCTCATTTTAGATTCCATCATCTTGGATGAATACACGTATGAGACTTTCTTATTCGAAAGTGAAAAAGTAAATCTATAAAGGAAAAAAGATAATCATTATTATTATTTGTACATTATTCGTGTATCATTCGTACATTGCGAATTATATTATTTTATAAGAAGAATTTTATCATTTTAATACAATGTAAAAGATCTATTTTCAAAAATACAATTTAAAAATTCTTATATAGAATAGTATCATTCGTGTATAGTATAATAGTCAGATGTGCATATCCGTAAATTGTTGTATGTCATGTGTGTACATACATTACATTATTCGATTTCTAGAAGATCTCAGTTGATAATTAGGGTATTGCAATTCATGCTTACGATTATCATTAATCGATACAATTATAGTTAATGATACAACGTATTAATAATGTTACATTATTATGTATATGTGTATATATACATATTATATATGTGTGTATTATGTACGTGACGTTCGGCGAGGAACGTGTATAAATATTTTAGTCAAACTAATCAAAAGATAATCAACATAACCTTTTTACGTACGTGAAATGCGATAATCGTGACAAGTGGTAATTTTAAAGGATTTTTGTCAAAATGACTAAGTTTGTTCAAGGAACATGTTTGTCAATGTGTCCAGAGAAAGAACGTTGGATGTAAGTTATATAAAAATCTGCTAGTACATATTTTTTAATGCAAATTATATTGTGACCATATAATAACGAAATTAGATAAATTTCAAAAAGAACTTTCTTATAAATTGTTGTTAGGGACATTTTCTTGATTTTTTTTTTTTATATCTTTTATATCTTCTTAATAGAAAGTTTCCTTCAAGAAAATATTTTTTTGAAAAATTCATGACAACTTACAGCAGAGAGAAAGAAGGTTTACTACACAATTTTGAGATCGACGATACTACGAAGGGAACAAGATTGCCGAAGGCAGATCCAGCGAAAACTATAAAATGTTTCAGTCGTTCAGCAGCAGGATCAGACATGACCGACATGAAACTATTGCGTCCAGCATCAGTATTATTATCGACGATTCGATATTTGTTTAGCAAGTATATACTTGTGTAATTGAAATTACATTAATGTATCATCGTACGGCTATTTATGTATATGTATACATTAATTTCAGGATAGCTACACGTACTGATGTAGATTGGATAATAATATACGATTTTATCTTCGATCGTTTGAGATCTGTCAGACAAGATGCTGCAATTCAAAGAATCGATGCCCTTATGAATATTCAGTTGTTGGAACCCATAGTTCGCTTTTTGGTTTATTCCGCGCAAAGGTACGACATATTGTATTTTTCAAAACAGATTCGAAAAATGTTTTAACAGAATCGAGAAACGATTGCAGATTATGTAAGCGAAGTATCTCTGAATTTAATACAATTATTAATGAGCAACACCTTGCCGAATGTCTAACGCGTTTGTTAGTCTTATACGACGAGTCGCAAGACGAGAGAAATTCTTTGGAACTTGATAGAGATATGGAAAGATTAACACTAAACGATAATCGTGCAGAAATGGAAGCATTATATATTCTTTTATACATGGGTAACATGGAAGCTTTGATGAGAGCATTACGACTCCCTTACAGTTTACGGTACGAATCGAATAAATGACTTGCAATGTTTACAATTCATATGTTCTAATATAAATTACATATTTACTGTATGAAAAATAATTTATCATTTTTCATAGAATATCTCCAAATGTACAATTGTCGATAAAAATATCGTTTGCTTGGCATTTAAAAAATTATGTACGCGTTTGTTCTCTAATTCCACAACTTCCTCCGTTACTTATTTGCGCAGCTATGACGGGTATACAAAAATTAAGAAGGTATGCACATACATTCAAATTTTGACTAACGAAATTGTTATTAATGTACAATTATACAATGTTGCAGGACAGCATTGAAAATCATGAGTTCAGGATACAACAGTAAAGTTTTTACATTTCCGGGACTTAAATTACAACAACTTTTACTGTATAAAGAAATAGATAAAATTAAAGCAGATTGTGAATTACTTGGCCTTGTATTTACCAATCAAAATATTTTATTTCAAAAGGCGAATTTCAAAGATGAAATCCAACTGGTATGTAAAAGAAATTAATTAAGAATCAACATTCAAGATGTTAATTTTAAGATACTATTACTTCCAAGCTATTATATTATTTGTTCTTTCAGACATATCCGGAAATGTATTATACACATCAATCCTTACATAGTTTTTTACCACAAATTTTACTTGAATCTGTATAATACAAAAAAAATAGTGTTAATTTACTGTTATATCATTGATTTTATAATGGATTAATAAATATATTGATAATAGAGAATGTTCATTAGCCTCTAACAAATCTAATATTTTGTTGCAATAAATTGTAGTAAATGTTTTATATGCATACATTTCATATAAAATCATAATGAATCTATAAAAGTTACTTTCAGTGTAAAATTTATAAAAATTGAGCTTCACAAAAAATCAATATTCACTGAGAATCACTAGATGAACTACTCGAAGAGTCTGTGGACATAACTTCAACATCTTCTGTTTCTTGCTTATGAGTATTCATGGCAACACTGCCTTGTCCACTCACAGACATATGAATTTCACCCGATGAATGCCAAGCAAATTGATTAGCTTGTGATACAGGTGGTTCTGAAATAATTTAATTTGAATAAAAAAAATTTAAGTATACTATTAGCCATACATATATAAATAGATTTTTATAAACATACCACCTACTGGATGTCCAGTTCTATGTAAGTCAGATGATATTCCAGGATGAGTGCCTGGCATCTGTCCATTCAATGGAAGATCGCTTAATCGTCCAAGATAGCCCAATCTCATTTCAATATCTATATAATAATATATATATGATATATAATATCTATATAATAAAGATAATTTCCATGACTTGTGAAGAAATAAAATAAAAACAAGAAGTGAATAATACCAGTAGGATAAGGTCTCCTGGGATCCCCTTGTTGCCAAGTAAGAGGAGCACATATAGCATTCGATGCACTTATTCTATGTGCATATTTAATTAATTCTTCAGATGGCACAGGCCTCTTATTGGCACGGGCGATGGATTGCAATTTTTGTTTAGCTTGATAAATTGCAGTGGCTAAAATTTGTTCTGCTTCTTTCAATTGCCGCTGCAATTGTTGAATATCTTGATCTTGTCTTTCAACTTCAGCTTTTAAAGCTTCCATTTTAAGGTTAATTTTTGCTTGTTCAGCCGCACGTTTTAAAACTGATTTAAATTCATTGTCCTTGGTGATCAACAATTCTGTTAATTGAGCATGTTCTTCGTTCGATAATTTCAATGGTTTTTGAACTATTGTATTTTCTATCATTTCTCTACGATAATAAAATTAACAAGTAAGTTTAAGATTAATAAGTAATTTTAAATATTTGTAGTAAATATTTAAATCATACTTTGCTATCAATTCAATGTCATCAACAATAGATAGCAAAACCTCTCTTGTACTTTTACCGGTCGATGCCATGATTCAAATCATGTAAATAACAATTCTTCTCTGTACTATATATTCAATTTCATGTCATTATATTTTGTTATAAATATTCTTACATTGTAAACATTTTTCTAAACCTTAAATCATTGAAGTTGAACTGCATTATTTGAACCTATTGTACAAATTATAACTCAATAACATTAACTAAGGACATTATCAAGAGTGTTCAGTTAGCTAAGAATTAATCTATATTTAGTCAGTACACAGATAAATCTGTACTAGCATTTGACTACCTAGGCTAAACCAAACATCCAATACTTTTTCGTGTCCCATGTTTTGGAAGTTACCTGCTCTCCTACTATTCCTGTACTACATCCTACTATACCGATTTAGACTGGTTTTGCACCGTAACACTAATTAATAAAATAATAGCATTGACTAATGATATCACATAATCAAATGAATTTATTGAACCTCAATTTCTTATGATATTAACGAATGCAATAGATAGCACTTGACTTAATCTATTGCTAGCGATACTAATAATAATTACTTTCATTTTTTTGCCGCTACGTGGTGATAATGTCTGTAGAAGCTCTGATTATTCTACGTTTAGTCGATACTCTAATAAAGGCTTGGTTAATGAGGAGGCATTTCTAATTTCTTCCGATTTTTTTTTTTTTTGAGGCATTTAAGTTATATTTCATGAATAAATAATAATTATTTTTATAATATACTTATTTTGTAGGTTGAACTCACTATGTACACTAATAAATGACTAAGATTAAATAAAAATATATACATATATGTATGTACATGCAGATGTACATGCAAAGATGTTACAATAACCCAGATCGTTTTTTTCTCTAAACAATCGCATTTCCAACTTGGAAAATTCCGAGTTTTCTTCAGTTAAATGTATTTTCACCAAAAATACATTTTTTGACAAGAGATAAGCGGAAGTAGAGGTCGCCACGTATATTATATTCTCATTTGCAAAATAACTAATTAGTTTGATAATAATAAATGACCAATTGATTTGTGAACGTTTATAATCATGTTTTTTCTAATTGGATCTTAAACTTCCTTTTTATATTGAATCTACGAAATATTTGAATAAAAATTTGGTTACATAGATCAAATAGTTTTATGATCGAAATTAAAAAATTTAATAGACATCTTTATGCGATTGATTCGTATTCCACGCGAATGTATTCTAAAGTTAGTTTTGGCTATGTCCACTTTCAATTTTGATCCAAATTTTGAATGTAGTTTATAAGAAATGGAATTAATCAGTTTTGTAGATAAAGATTAATATTTCTAAAGCAAAATGATATGTTATCATTAAATATCATTACATAATTTAAAATGTAACAAATGTAGTTTTATAATTTAAATAATACTAATCGCAATTAAATAACATCTACAATTTATTATGAAAATTAAATAATCTCAATGAAAATAGACTTAATAAAAAATATGAAATCTGTATTTGATTGTACATCATATACTACACTATATAATCGAAGACCTTTTGATTTTGTGAGCGCTCACGCCATTTTTATTTATATGTGGTGGGGGGTAACAAAGTGTGCAACATTGTAAGATTTATAAAATTATCAAAAGATTGATCAAAAGGAATGCTTAATTTTGTGATATAGCTGTAATATAAATCGTGATTATCCATAAGATAAAATTGTATTATTACGGAACGTATAAAGTTATTAATGCAATTGTTAGATCTTTGTGTTACTGGTATTAACTACAGATTTTGCTACAGTTACAACTTGGATAAAATGGATTATCGTCAAAAGGTAAGCATAAACACATAATAATTAATAAGTCAACATAATTTATCATTAATTGCATATACAATACTAATATACATTCCACTGATATATATAAGCTGTCATAAATTGTACGTAAAAGTTCAGAATTATTTAAAAGTTGATAACGCAAAAACCGATATAGGTTTTTTCCTTCGATGATCATTAGATTTGTTTTCATGTAAACAGTGAAAAAATAATATAGAATTGTAAAGAAGCATGTACTGTAATTTTATTTATTATTATGTAAAAAAAAAAACAATTTGTGTAAAGAATTTTATTATTACATTGATATATGTAGTAATTTGTATCGTTGTATGTTGTTTTCAATGTTCATAATAATTTATTGTAAAATGTAAAAAAAATTAAATTTAGATAGACTATATATTTATTTAATATATTGAATTCAAATTTATTGTTCCTTCTAGATGATTATACCTCCTCAGCAAAATACAAAGAATGATGATGAGGATGACGAAGATTTGGAAGCTTTAAGACTTGCTGCCCTTCAATCATTAAGAACAAAAGATAGTATACATAATAAAAAGCAGCCCCCACCACAAAAAACTATTTCAGATGTAATGCAAACATCTCACTTGTCATATAAAGGTCAGCGACCTTTAAGAAGAGGATATTTTCATAATCGGTTACAGCAGCGACAGAATGGCGTAAGTTTTTAATTATTATAATGATAATTATGAATCAAAATTTTAGAAACTTTGTTAAGTTTTTTCTTATTGTATTTGAATTTTTACTTTGCTAAAAATGTATTTCAATTGCTGTATGTGAACATAAAATATAAATTTATTGAATTATTTTCAATATTTCACTGTGAGATTTATTAAAAATTTACTTAAGACTTCCTGTACATTTTATCATATAACAAAAATGAAAATTGTGTTATTCAAATAATAATTTAAGTTTCAAAAGAGATCTTTTTTTTGTGTTAGATAATATTTTGTTATATCCCTGAGATTTGACTGTATACATTTGATAATATTAATGTATTTTGTATTGAATGTAATGAACAATATTAGTGTATTTTAATTTTTATTAATTATTAATTAAAAAGAAATATGTTATTAAAGCAATAATGTACATATATAAAATTATCAATAAAGAAATAACACATAATTTTATTATATTAATAATATAATACCTAATTTTATTATATTAAGTAATATATTTGTTTATTTCATATATTTATTATAATTTTATTATAATTTTTTTTGAACCTTGTAAAAAAATAATATAAAATGAAATTTATTTTAAAATTTGTTGTTATTAACAACAAGGTAACAATAAAGTTTTGTACAATTAGGGAATAAAATATTATACTTAGGGTATTGTTATTATAAATTTTAATTTAAGAATTAAAATATTAAGAAAGTTATTTTCAAGTTCAAATCATTCAGTTTTTATTTCTTTTCTTATTCAAGTAATTATTTAAATAATTTAATCAGTAGTCAGTAATTTATAATATAAATAAGAGTAACAAAAGATTTAATTTATAAAATATATGAATAGCTTAATAATGTTTATAATTTATAATTTATAATTTATAATCTTATGTCAATGACTTAAAATTAGTAATGTTTAACTATTAATGGCGTTAAGGAAAGTAAGAAAAGTTTTTGTCTAAACTAAATTTTTCTAATATTTAAATATATAGTACAAGTAAATATTATTCATAAGATAAATATAGATTAATATAACAATAACATTGATATAATTTAATTAAAATATTATATTATAAATATTATAGATAGAAAATTATTAATATCAAATTAGTACTTTTAATTTTTAATTGTTATATAGAATAAAAAATAATTGAATTTAACAGCTTAATCTAAAAATTTTGTAAAGCTTATAAAAGATTTTATGAAACCTTATGAAAAATTTTTTTTATATACCTCATAAAGAAGAATAATCCTTGACATTTTCAAACATTAAAATTGAGTATATTTTTAGATATTCTTAAAAGATATATCAAATACTGATTATTTTTTTTTAAAAAGAAAAATATGATAATGAAAATTGTACATATTTTGAAATATCAATATAAAATTATTAATAATTATTTAAAACAAAATATATTATAATAATTAAATTATAGATGCAAATTCGTATTTTTTTCATAAGTATATATATACATATATCATTTTTACAGAATTTGTATTATCAGAGTCCACGTAATCCAAATTTAATAGCAATAGTTCCTGTTGATGAACGTTCTGTGCTGCAACAAACTGATTTAGCTTGTTCAATAGAAAAAACTGCTCCAAATATTGAACCTTATTCTACAGGTATGTAAAATAATCTGATATAAATAATACTGTAATATAAATAATACTGGTGTAAATAATATAATTTGTTTTAATATTGCATAAAAATAATATTTTTAGAAGTATCAAAATTTCATCGTTTCAAAGATAATGGAAGTGGTACGGATGAAGAAGATAATAAAGAACAGAAAAAAACAATTAAGAAGTCAGAAACTATTGAGAAAGATAGCGTAGATGATAAAACATCTATAATAATTGAAAATCAGACAGAGACTACAGAAAATTCAAAAAAAATTGAGGAAGATCAAGATGGTGTTAATGACGATGATGATGATATCATTATAATGGCTGATCTTGAAGAAGAAGATAGTTTAGAACGGTTAATGGATGAAATGGAGAGAGAAATGAATGTTGATAAGCCGTCTGAAAGAAAAGAAAAGAAAAGTAACAAAAAGGAAAACAGAGAATCTATTAAAAAAGATGAGATAACTAGAAATGTAAGTCAGAAAACGAGAATAGAAGATACCAATATTCAAAAAGAAAGTCATAGCCCAGGACCAGTAACAATGATTCTAAAAAGTGAAAGACGATCTATATCTCCACATACAATTAGTAGAATTTCACAAAAACGTAGGTCGTTGTCACCAAGGTCACGATCAAGAAAAAAATCACCTAGAAGATCTCCTAGAAGATCACCCATTAGGCAGTCAAAAAAATCTCAGCGAGAAATAATGAGGTATAGATCGCCCCGAAAGTCTCCGATACGTTATTCTCCACGATCACGATCACCTAAGCTTTCATCACGATCGAGATCACCGCGATTATCACCACGTAGATCTCCAAACAAGTCTCCTATAAGATCACCTGTTAAGAGACTATCTCCAAGAGGAAGATCTCCGAAACTTTCGCCGCATTCCAGATCTCCTAGACCAATACGTTCACCTAAAACATCTACAACCAAGTCTCCAAGAATGGCACGGTCACGTTCTCCAAAATTTTCGCCGTTAAGATTATCTCCTCAATCTAGATCGCCATTAAGATCTAGATCACCTAATTTATCTCCAAGACGAACATCACCCTCACGTAGATTATCACCTAAATCAAAATCTCCTGGATTATCTCCTCGAAGAGGACCGTCACGTTTAATATCACCAAAAATATCACCACGAAGAATGTCACCACGATCGAGATCACCGAGATTGTCACCACGTAGATCACCATGGTCATCTCCAAGAAATTCACCTCGTCTATCTCCTAGACGAAAAAGATCTCCAAGATGGTCGCCTAAAGAATTCTCACGAAAACATGGACCACGATCTATTACTCCAGATGGAACATGTAGTCCATCATATACAAAAGAATCATTGTCAATAATTAAAAGTAGGACATCTCCAGAAATAAATCGTATAAAAACAAAACAGAAAGAAGAAAATTTAGATAATGCTACTATGATAGAAAAAGAACCTATTGATATAATTAATGACCCTGTATTAGAAGCCCGACGAAAGAAGTTTGAATCTACAAGGCCTATAGATCCAATAAATGCAAATAAAAAAATTAAATTAAATAAAAAAGAAAATACAAATAAAAAGATAGAATCGGTAGAAGATGTTGAGATAGGAAATGTGAGAAAAATTAATAAAGTTACAGAGGATTATGATATTCAGGAAGCAGATTTATGTTTAGATACTCATTATGAGTTTGAAGAGTTTGAACAAAGCATGGAAAGTGCTTCTCCCATTGCTATTACAGGTTCTGTCCCATGTCTAGATTTAGAACTTCAAAATCCCGAAAAAGAAAGATCATCAAAAAAGAAAAAAAAACGTGACAAGGAATTGTACCAAGTGGGAAAATTAAAAAATGAACTTCCTCTTTCTGAACGTATTGGAAAAGATAAGAAATGTAAGAAACGCAAAGATGTTATTTCAGATGGTTCAAGTGAGGATATGGATGCCATTTTTGAAGATCTAGTAGTTGATAAAGAAAGTGATTTACGAACTGAGTTAAGTAGGAGACGGGCAGAAAGATTAAATAGAACAGTACCAATTCAGTCTGCAAGATTAGTGCAATCTGCTTTTAAAGGAGTTGTTAATGAGTAAGTATTTATAATGCACTATATGGATTAAACTTTCTACTTATAAAAATGTTATACAGAATGTCTCATTTTAATTTAACCATGTAATTACTTTCTGAATTATTTATTATTTGAAAAAGTATTGTGAGCTTGAGAGAGATATTTTTACTCTTTCAAATGAATAAAAAAGAGATTTTTTATTTTTTCTTGAGGTTTATTCCTGATAGTATGAAGGTTCACATTAAAGAGAATTTATAGATATGTTAGATATGTTAGATAGATAGATTTGTTAGATAGATATGTTAGATAGATAGATTTTTTAGAATAATGAATATTTTCAAATAATTGCCTGAATGAATTGAAATAAAATACTTTGTATACATATTAACTATATATTATGTATTATATTATATATGTACATATATAATGTAATATATTATATGTTATGCAATATATATATTAATGTATATTTTCTTTTTAATATATTTCTTTTTAAAATTTAACATATGTTGAATACATAAAAATTATTCTTTTTTCAGAGTTGTCAAAAGTAATGCAAAAGTGAATCAAAGACATTTAGTTAAAGCAGATGAAAAAGGTAAATAATTTACAATGTAACTTCTATTAACATTTGTAACACTTCTGTTTCATGCTAAAGTAATTGTGTTTTTTTGTAAACGAATCCAATGTAGCAATCCAATGATGCATTTTGAAGTTAATAAATAAGATCATTTTCATATAAATATAAATTTCATATTATTCTTGATAAAGTTTTGTAGATGAATATTCTAAAAAAAATATTCTTGCTTATATTTTATTATAAGCAAAATCATAATGAAATACTATATAATAGAAATAATAATCTAGAATATAGAATATGAAAAATTCGTAATTAAAAATTCAATATTAAATATCTGTAAATAGTACACTACTATTTCACTAAAAAAAAAAATTAAAAAATTATATAAAGCATATTAATTATTATAAATTTATCGTAAATTATTATCTTAATTTGATGAAATATTGAATTTTGTTTTTTTTTAATTCATATGTTTTTATTTTGTAGCTAATCAAAAAGAAGTTCGTCGGGTTACTGTTCTTCACAGATCAATATCTGATATACATGATTCTGAAGGTTTGTATATTTTTATATTATTTATTATTATTATCATGTATTAGAATGAAATATAGCTTTGGAGCAAGATAAAAACAGTTATTAAATTATTGTATTATAATTAGTGCAATAAAATTTTCAATAACTTACTTATTTTTAATAATGTTGTTTCATTTTATTTGTATTACGATTATGATATTTTTTTTTAAAAACTCAGAATTTAATTATAAATTATAAACATGAATCAAATAATCACCTTTTATAATTTATAAAATATGTATTTTGCGTAGAAAAATATTTTTATATATTTAAAAAAATCGTTTTTATATACTTTATCATATTTTATATGAAGGTATAAAATTTTATAAGAATATTTTATAAGAATATTTATATATTTAATATTGAATATATAGAATTAATATAGATTTCATATAGAAGTTTTAAAGATAATTTATCATAAAGAGAAGTTAAGTAACTATCAAAGAAATACTTGTGAATATAATTCTTTCACTAAAAGTATATTATGTAAATAATAATATAAAAATTAAATAACTGAATTATTTTTATTTTCCAAATTTTTCATACAAATATATGTTTATATTTATAGATGAAAGTACTGTAGATTCGAAGGTGCCTGTGCGTTTTAGACTGGGCCTCAATAAACAAGTGCAAGATACCAGGGAGTCAAAAATTTCACGAAAGGCATCTAAAAGACAGGGTCGCAAGGTAAACCATAAAGTCAATTTAAATGTAACAAAACATATTTTATAGTATAAAAATTATTTTATAATATATACATAATTCGCATATTCATTTAAAAACATAATATTTATACATAACTTTAACATTGTAATATTTTAACTACTTAAGTTTGTGTGCCATTATTTTTGATTTTTATAACACTAATTGTATTAAATATTTTAAATATTACTGTTAATTATTTTCTTAAACAATTGGAAATATAAAAATTCTTTAATTAAATAAATATATCTAGTAACAAAGTATATTTATAGTAACAAAGTTTGTTAATTGTGCAAAAATTATTTTTTGATAGCATACACAAAAGATATCTTAAAAATAGTACAATTTAATACTTCATTGTGGTAAATAATAATCAATTTTTGAAAAGACTTTATTTATCTTTTTGTCATTTTTAAAAAGATAAATATATGACTTAATTTTTAGAAATAATTGATTAATTTTTTTAATAATGTTATATTTATATGGTATAACACAAAGAATGTTTAATAATTATTTTAAGTAATTAGATAATTCTTGTATGCATGAAAATATTAAAGATATTTCGTTTTAAAAACTTAATAGTACAAAATGCATATGTAGGATTTGATATTTATATATAATATATACTACACACACGCGCACACACACACGCACACACATTTATATTTTGTAATTATAATTACATTATAACAAAATGAAAAGTATTATTTTTTATTACTATAGTTTCATGAATTCCAAATTTTTTCATTATTTGTATTTAAATAATTAATTAATTTTTAATTTATGTTAGATTCGATCAATTTAAATAATTAATTTCATAGTTTATGATATTAAAAATTTCAATACAATATTAGTATATCAAATAAATTTCGAAATTAATGTATATGATCAGTCTATTTTTTTAAATTTTATGTTTCATTGTATTATCAGACTTATTTATTAAGCATGATATTTTGTAAAATGGAATCTTAAAATATTTAAATATTCTATAAAAAATGTAAATGTGAATAATTTTAATAAATTATATTTAATTTTTTAATAATTGTATGATATATCATATATGTTATGAATATAATTTTTCATGTTCAGTGATTATTAAATGTCACTTTTATTAGTGATACTACAATTACTGCAATACTGCAAATTGTAATATGAAGCTGAAAATACTTGATTATATTATTAATTTATTTTAAGACGTTATTTTAAATTGATTTTCTTTTTATAACTAAATAAATGTTACAACGCTACACATATATATTGAAAGCACGGATATAACTATAATGAAACTAATTTTTAAAGTTAAAGTTAAAGAGTTATATAGCAGAAATCATTAAAAGATATTACTAAATATATTCTAAAGAAAATAAATTTCAAGAAAAATTATTTAAAGTATTAAATAATTAAATTAATTTCTTAAAATAATATTTAGGTATTATAAAGTTAAAAACAGTTATAGGGTGACGTTATAAATTTAATTGAATATTATCTTTATTGAAAGATAATAAATGCACATTTTTTTTTTTTTTTGTTTAGGAATAGAGTAAACGTGTGTTCTCACCTGATTGCATATTTATATGAAGAGTGCATAGCTGTTCATCTTACCTCCTATTTTATTATCAGCATACGAAGATAAGATCTATTAAAAATTTAAGTATATAAAAATTGCACTCATGTAGAACAAATATCTGTTTTATTTGACTTATGACATAATATAAAAATGAAAAGATAACATTCTTCTAGAAGACAATATCAATATTTCAAAATACTTTATGTATAATTATATCTCATTATTTATTGTTAAGCGTTATAGTAGATAGTTGATTACATGTGATTATAAATCATTTGTTGTGTTAAAGTATTTGTAAATAATTTACATCAATCACTCATTTAATAAATAAGCATCATTAATAATCCCAAAGTCACCTTTTGTAAACCTGAGTATATTAGTATTCTAATAATTCTGTATAAAAGAATCAATCAATTGTAAATAAGAATATTGTTAATAAGCGTGTGTAAAGTGAGAAATAAGTTGTATATCATGTACATTGAATTAATATTATTAAGGTATTGAATATACTATATAAAGTGACCTATAGTAACAGAAGAGTGATTTTATTAAAATATATTTTTTACACTACATTGTTCGAAAGTAACAAACACGAATTTTTTAAGATAATTAAGAAATGCAGTAAATTGGCTTTTCTTGATTTATTATTTTATACTTACATTATAAATACATAGTATAAATGATTATTGTATTTAGACAAATATAAAAGAGTGTATCTTTTTCTGCACATATATTTAGAGTTAATGTATAAAATTATACTATTTATAGAGTATCATGATTCAGTTAATAGAATTATATAACTTCAGAATTAAAGTATTTAGTCAATTGGAATAACATCATTATTCTACTATATTATTATATTTATCATTAGTAAAAAAATCTGTGTAGTTCTTTTCTTGTATTTTACATAATATTAATTAAGATTTCATCAAACAATTAGTTCTTATTATTATACGTATATTTTTATGAATAGCACATAAAATACATATTGAAAGTAAATTATTATCATGTGTTACCAATAAGCTGAACTAGTAGCCAATACACTTACAAATGTAAATTTAGATTATTTCAGATATTATATTTCATAAATAAGATAGAATACTTCATAGTATCTATGAAGGTGTAAGTGTTATATTAAATTAAATAAAAAAATGATAACTGCATTTATATGAACTTTTTTTGATAAAAATTTGATATAAAAGGGATGGTACCTTAGAATAAATTTAAAATATACAATTTTGACACACATAACAGCTTAAAACTTTAAATCATTTCATGTGTGTTATGATTTATATGATTTATTAGTTATATCATAATGATACAACTCTAAATGTACATCAAGAAAGCAACATAATGCTTTATCAGTCAGTTAAACTGTTTCCTATACTCTTCAATTTATATGCTTTTATGCATATGTTTTAAATATCAACTCCAAGAGTTGAATATTATTGTTATAAGTATAAAGTAACTCAAAAGACTTGCAATTGTTGAATTTATCTATCGTACAAAATGTGATATACAGCAAGATTTTTACAGTCTTATTAATAATGAGCAAATTGCTTATTGTAGAATAATGCAAGTAATTTCTTAAACTTGTCTAGTCAAGTAATCACAAGATAATGTGTATATATATATATATATATATATA